AATCCAGTTCCAATAAATCTTATTATTTACATCAACTTTTACAAATCTTTTTGGAGAGACTGTGAGAGGACCATTTCATTGCAGTTGACATTGGGCACCTTAATTATTTTACTTCTATGTAACCTGAGCTGGAGGGACTGTATGTGTGCGGCTTCCTCTCTGTCTTATAATTTTTCTCTATATCTTCAGTTTTTTATGAGGTGTGGAAAAGAAATTTTCTTTTAAAATCACTGAACATTTCACTGGCCGTAAGAGCCATTTCTCATCCATCTTCAGTCAACATTTTGAGTCCTTAATTTCTGATAAGGAAACAATTTTGCAATGAGCAATCAGAAATGGCATCGATAAAGCTGGAGATGTGAAAAGGAGCTACAGATCTTAGATGGTATCATCACACATTGTACTGCTACAGGAGATTCTCTGACTCTCTGAAGATGAAACATGAAGGCTGGTTGATATTCTATTATGTGGGGTTCATGCTAGATTTCTGTTTCTGGGTTGTGTAAAGACCACATAGGAACTAGGAGAGAGGTCATTTGAGTTCCTTACTTGGAGATTTTATGTGACATGGGCTGTAAAACTTGTAATATCGCTGTGTACAAAGAGAAGAAAGTATGCGTGTTAACGCTCCTCTTCTGTCCCTTCTAATGTACAAATGAGGAGTGAGGCAGGCACAGGGCTAGAAGGGGGTCATCTTTGGAGGGGTGTCAGATATGCAGCTTCTGATGCAAAGATTTTACTGCTGCTAAAGTACTGATACTGGCAGAAGTTGTCACCATGAAGATAAAACTTTTTAATTTTTATTTTTTTTTCCTCTATGAACAGATTCATCTAGCATCTCCCCATTGGTAGAATAAATCTGATAAAAAAATGGAGTTGTAAGCAGCAACGATTATATCCTAGTGAAAAGATTTTATCCAACAGAAAAAATGTTGTGCCTGGGCATAATTTTTCAGATATGATGAATAACAGCATAGCATGACCCTCAGACCTAAGAATTTAGCTTTAAAAGAACTGCTGAGCATATCAAATATACTGAACTTTTTCTCTCCTATCATGTTTTTCACAGGCAGAGTTTGGCTTATAGATACGTCTTGACAAAAATCTGCCACAGGCAAATTTCAACAAAAGAACAACTTCAAACACATCCAATTAACAATTTATGAAAGGAAATTGCGGAAAATTACACAGAGATTCACAGGGCAGAAAATTTGGCACTAAATCAAATTTAATGTTCCAATGCCTGTATAGGGAGTTATAGCCCCTTGCAGGGCATTGTCAAAAGGAACTTTATCTGTGGAGGCTCAGTGAGTGTCCTCCATCATATCTTTTTTTTGCTATAAATAAGATATTTTGTCATACATGGCAATGAGCACAACTCAAAAGGGAACAAAGACCACTGAGAAACCAAGCTATATGAAGTTTTCAATCAGAAGTATTAAACATCATTAGATTTCTTCAGACTTTCAAATCCAGGATTTATTCATTTTATCACAGAATGAGGGGCACTGTACAATTAACTAACACAAAATCACTTTTCACTTGTTAGTGAAGCCAGATAACATACATATCCTGATAGCAGGTCATGGTGACTATATTTAAATTTACTATGGAGCCATTTTTATGTCTGAAAGGAAATTTCAGCTCCCCTGCATCCCATTGTTTCCTGATTTACTCACTCATTAAGAAGCTGTGGTTGGATTTTCTTGAAAGATATTGAGGATACAAACTCACGTAATTGCCTTCAGCAGCTCTGAAATTAACTTAAACCACTCCTTTGTTTAGAGAAAAACATCTGTGTCTAGACCATTATCTATTTAAACACATGAATAGCTGGCTTTTGTAAGAGATGACTGAGCAGCATCACTTGCACTGCACTGTCTGGATTATCTGGGGGTGGTGGTGGGGGGCAGATCCTGAAAGGAGAGTGTAGTGAGGTGGGGGTCAGTCTCTTCTCCCAGGTAACAAGCAATAGAAAGAGAGGAAATGGCCTCAAGTTGCGCCAGGGGACGTTTAGATTGGATCTGAGGAAAAACTTTTTCACTGAAAGGGTAATCAAGCATTGGAACAGGCTGGGCAGGGGGGGGGTGGAGTCACCTTCCCTGGTGGTATTTAAAAGACGGGTAGAAGAAGTGCTTAGGGACATGGTTTAGAGGTGGAATTGGTAGTGTTGGGTTTATGGTTGGACTCAATGATCTTAAAGGTGTTTTCCAACCACTACAATTCTGTGATTCTGTATTGTTTACAGATAACAGGACCAACAAGTGGGGATGATTAATGGAGTTGACACAGGCCATCATCAAACTTATTTGTGATACAACTGTGGCATTACAGAGTTTAATATAATTTGAAGAGTTGGTTGCTGTATTGCTGGCTTTTCTGTTAATCCTGTGCTCCCACATCAGAACAGAACAGGCAGCATTTTATAACTTGTTAATTTGTTATCTTCCACTGAAATACATATCTGCATAGGAATGCATGGCTTTAAGTGTCCATTCATGTGCATTTAGGTCCATGACACAGCATCCTTGCTGTGACTGTAGTACAAGAATTTAGTTAGATCACGTGTTTTCCTGTGTCTTCAGAGAACAGACACCTGGGCTCTTCCAGTCTACTTGGCGTTGTGCAGTATAACTTCCTCTGCATGTGCTAGTTGGCCCACTGGTGAAGATGAGAGGACACCTCTGTCACTGTAAATGAAGCATTAGAATGCCCCAAGGGTTTTGGTTTTGCTTTTTTTGTGTGTGGTTTTTTTTTGTTTTTTTGGGGGTTTTTTTTGTTTGTTTGTTTGTTTTGTTTTGTTTTTTTTTCTTGAGGCCATTAATATATGCTTTTGGCAGTGAAACACTCTACCAGACAAGTTAGTGTCCAAGGCACGTAATAATTAGTGAATAAAGCACCCCCAGAGTAACTTAATCCTATTAAAATGTGTCTTTTAGAGTGCAAATGAATTTTTAACCTAATTTTAAACGATGATTTCCTTCCTGTAACACACCCTTTCTCTGTAGATAACAGGTCCCAGGGAAGCAGAAAGTGAAACAAAGCAAGACATTCATGTCAAAATTTTTATCTTCTGTTTATATTTTTTGAGAGATACCTGACTGTTTACTGCTGATTTTTCTGTATGCTTCTACTTCTCCCATCACCTCTCTTCCTTCTTCACATTGTATAATTTTCTTTGTCTGCAACTAGATGATGATGATAATAATGATGAATCACTTTCATTGGGCAAAGTCTAGATTTAAGCAACTACAGAAGTTCTTTACTTTCTAAATGCAGAAATTATATACTTTTTAAAGAATTAAAGAACAGTTCAAGAGTTAAATAAGTTTCCAGATGGCTGATATTCTTCAAAATCTAGCCAGCTAGAGTGTCTAAATATGATTGCAAGAGTTAAGTATTACTCCTTTTATCTATGCCTCCTTCACAGTTTCTCCAAGGCAGACCTCTAAGAAAAAAAAGCAAGAAGTAAAACATATTATAAGTGACTTTTTTTTCTTTTCCTTTCCTTCCCTCATACATGTTTGGTTAAGCTTCTTGTTCTTACTGTAGTGATTTGGCATTGTTCCCACTGCAACTTCCAGTCCAGTCCTCCCAGTTCTTCCAGTTCTCCAGTCCTTCTGTGCCCTTCCAGTAAGCTTTCAGATGGCCTTGCTTACTGTTCACTCTCTGTGAATTCAGGATATTTAATATTTTTGAAAACTTAGGGACAGCAAAAGGCTTTTATTTCTCAGGCACATCTCATTGAAAAGCCCCAGTGTTTGTGCTTCAGATAAGCCCAGATTCAGAGAACTGAACATCCCCTTGAATTCTTGTGCTTGTTTTCTCCTGTAGCTTTCAGGGACTTTCGGGGCATTCAGGTCAAGAATGTGCTGTAGCAACTGACATTTCTTCTTTCAGCTTCACAGAATCAGAAGCACTTGGATTGGTTTTTTGTTTTGGTTTTTTATTGTAACTTTTGATTAGGAGTCAAAGCTCAGCTCAAGGCCAGTTTAAAGGATCATGTGTGTTGTTTGAAGTGAAATATTCATGCAGTTGTAGGATGGAGTCTTCAGCAGTCTCAGCCTCCTGATTCTTCAAACCAACCTTGTGTCAATTCGTTCTCTTAGTCCAGTCTAGACTGAACCTAACGTCTCTGTAGGCACAGAAGCTAAAGGCTGGGAGGAAGACCTGCAGTGTAGATGCAGCTGGATGATAAACACACTCTTTGAATCTGGATCTGAATACAACCACAGCTCCCAAAGTCAGTATGAACATCTAGCTACCTAGAAAATAGTATCTGATGTGTCAACAAAATCAAGCCAACTCTATAGAGTGAACAGCATGAAACTGTGAGTGGCTCTAACTGATGACTATGCAGTCACGTTACTATAAGTGTTTTCTCTTTTTTAATCTCTATTTACTTTATCTCATAAATAGACAAGATAGCATCGTTGGTTATGTTGAATGTTCCAAGTTGGAGCATGAAGTCTTCAAGGCAAACACATAGGCTTTATTTCTGCTTGAGAAAGTATCTAATTCCAGAAGAATCTGCAGGAAAATCAACAAAGTAAATGTGTCATTTTTCAGATGCACATAAATGTTTTGTTCTGTCAGAGTTGTTGGGAAAGAGAAGATAGTTGCTGGGGCTCAAATATAGCTCAGGAGAGCTGGCTTCAGGTCCTAACACTGCCTTTGAGGCTTGATATATTATCTCTCATGTAACTTACTCTTAACTCTCTTCGCCTTTTCATAGTATCATAGAATGGTTTGGGTTGGAAGGGACCTTAAATATCATCTAGTCCCAATCCCCCTGCCATGAGCAGGGACACCTTCCACTAGACCAGGTTTTTCAAAGCCTCATCCAACCTGGCCTTGAACACTTCCAGGGAGGGTACATCCTTTTGCCATGGTTTAAACAATATATGATATTACTGTTTTCTTTTCCCATAAGAAGACTATGTAAACCTGAACATCATTTATATTTCTTTTGCTTTCTTTCCATTCTCCCATTTCAGCAGGGCCCTAGGACCCCCTTCTCTGACCTACCTGATGATGAGAAGATCTTTAATGGCAGGGATGGCATGTGGCAGAACCAGAACCAGGATCAAGCCTTGCTTTCGGAAATCACAGAAGAGGATCTGGAGGCCATCCGTCAGCGGGAAGAGGCCATTCAGCAGATTGAGGTCAGCCAACTTCTCCCATCAAGGGCTTGCAAGCTGGAAATGTAGATTCCTTGTGTTGTGCATTGTTCAACATGATGAATGAAATGCTGACTTACATGGCTGTTTGCACAGCATCACTAAATATGGGAGAGATTCACAGGTGTTTCTAAAAATGGAAATCAGTGGCAGAAGGAAGAATTAGAAATCCATATGACCTGTAATGAAAATGACAAGAATTAATTAGTGTTCATGGACTAATGTTTTTCTTCCATAACAGAGGCTCTAGTGAGATAGTTGAAATGAGCATGGTTCTGCAGCAGAATAACTTTCATGTTGCCTGCAAACTTGAAACTGGAATTTGTTACAAACAGAAGATATTCAGCTTTACCTTTAGAGAGAATAATAGGTAGATGAAAGGAAATAGCTTGTTAAGTTTTTCAAATAATTAAATATTTTTTAATTATCAAAGTATTTGGATGTTCTTAATGTATTTAAAAGTCATACTAATTTTATTCTCTTTTTTTTTTAGAAGTCCTATAAATAAAATATGAAAAAAATAACAAAAAGAAATCTGAATAAGTTAAACATCCCACATATTTCTTTTTATACACCTCTTTTTATGTTTTCAGGAAACTCTTGATACTCACATTTAAGCAATAATTCAGTAAAACCAGGACATATTAAATCTTTCTCATTTGTATGCTTTTACAGGCTTAAACTCAAGATGAACCAAAAAAAAAAGAGGGCTTCAGAATAATCAGAACATTTAATTAAGGACTATACTTTGTCCTTTAATTGAATTGAGCTAATTTTATCAGAATAGATTTTTGTTGCAGTATAGCAGGAATTGTGATTGAGTTAACAGTGCAAAAAGGAAAAATAGGCTGCTGCTCTGAGGCGTTGACCTCTGTTTGCAAACAGTGATAACAACATAGGATTCAACACTTTAAGAAATTTCTGTAGTTTTATAGGAGTGGGTTGAGGTGAGTGGATGGCTAATTTCTGTTATGGTTTGCTGAATAGAGATGATTGAGCTTTGTGCACTTGTGTATATTACCAGGGATTAAATTGTTAAAAAATATTCCCACATGGAGTATCTTTGGGTGTCAATTGTCCTTTTATACCTGAGGAATCTCTCTGCATCCACCAAGACAAACTCTAGGGAGCTTTGTTGCAAGAAACAACAGTGTTGTTTTGGGATGTTCCTGCACTTTGGTTTTCAAGAAGGATGGTTGTAAAGGTATTTTTGAGATAGTGTAGTGGACATAAAGTATATTATTGTGATCCTTTTGTTTGGAATATAGTCACTACCTTTTTCGAGGTGCAGTCGTGTCTCCTTAGAAAGATCCTTATTTTGCTGATTAAATCTCATTTCTGTGCCACAAGCTGTTTTTTTCTGCATGGGGTGACACTGGACCACATGGGCATAGTGAAGTAATTTGACCAAGTTAAGTGAATCCAGTCCCAGCCCTACATAACTTCTAAATGAATGCAACACTCGTGTTGGGCAGGTTGGGTATCTATTGATTTGGTAGATCCTATATACCTTTCTGCCTAATATGTATTTACCTCTGAATAACTTATTCAACTTATGTAGTTAATAACTGACTCGATTTAAGCTGTTAGTGTTGTTCAGACTTCTGCTTCCAAAGAATATCTGCACTTTCTTTTTACCATTTTTTCCCCTATCTCCATCATAACTGCATTCATTTTGCTTTACTATCCAAGATCCATGTTCATCCTGTAAGGAGGACTACATTCCACAAGCATTATTTCAAATGTAGCTTAAACATTTATCTTGAGGAGGAAATAATTTAGGAGCAATCGTATCTTATTTAACATCTCTTTTGAAAGAAATATAATGAAAATGAAATGGATTTTTGGACTGTGTTGTACCTCTTCCCAGCTGTATTTAAATAAGCAGATGGTGCTTTTAAATAGTTTTCACTAAGTTTTGTTTTTCTGTTGACCCACATGAACATATTTCTTGTGAAAGGACTCATCTTGCACATTAAAACTTCCCCAATTTCATTAGAAATTGTGAGTATACAGAGAAGGAACTCACCGAGCTCATAGTCACCCTTACAACTTATTTCCAATTTGTTTTCTAAACCAGTAAGTAACTAAAAAGGTTAGAGGGAAACACTAACAGTCAAGCACACTTAATAAACTAAATGTATTGCCAAAATGATGTATAGCATTTGTTCTTCTTTGCTCTTTGGGGACCAGAATGAAAAACAGAGTGGTGCAAAACATATCTTACACAAGTAGATTGGTCTTGCTGGGATTTTTAGATTTCTGCATATCTAGCACCAGAAACATATAGATCTTAAGCAGCACTGAAGAGATCAAAGAGCATTGCTAGAACATCCTATCTTCTGAGCCACACTGATTAGCACACAACTTTGGAGAAGCTGATGGTGCTGGTACCAGTACTGGGCTTTTTTTTTTAAAAAAAAACTTTTTTCTTAAGAGACATTTAATTTGCCCTTTTTGCAAGAAGAGATATAAAACCTTTTCATTGCTAAAGAAATTAGGAAATAAATTCTCTTCCCATCTTGTATCCTGAAAAACAGACATAAAATTGTGTCCATAATAGACCTCTTCTTAATGTTTCAATGACT